TCTTGCAGTGCGCTAAACCCCCGTAAACCCCCAAACCGCACACCCTGAACCCCTGAACCCTAAACCCCCTAAACCGAAACAAAACCCTCAAAAAACAAGAACAACAAAAAATGTGGGCGTCTAGCTTTGAGCGGCACTTTGGATTTCTCGGCGTCCTGACTGAAGCCTAAACCCTAAGCCCTAGACCCCTAAACTCTAAACCCTGAACCCTAAACCCTGAATCCTAACCCCTAAATCCTAACCCCTAAACCGTAAACCCTAAATCCTAAACCCCAAACCCCTAAACCTAAACCCTAACCCTATACAAACCCTCTCCCCCCCCCCCCCCCCCCAAACCTTGCCTTGATGGCTGCCGCGGCCTCGTTCTTCAGGCTCTCGACAGATCGCCTCTCCTGTAAGAGGGGCTTAGGGGGTTTAGGGGTTTAGGGTTTAGGGGTTTAGGGGTTCAGAGGGTTCAGGTGTTCAGGGGTTCAGGGGTTCAGGGGTTTCGGGGTTCAGGGGTTTAGGGGTTTAGGGGTTCTAGAGTTTAGGGGTTCAGGGTCTTTGTTGACTGGGTTGGAGGGTTTTGAGCTTTGCTTTAGCCCTAAACCCTAAACCCTGAACCCCAAACCCAAACCCCAAAGCGGAGGCACACTGCGAAGCTACTTGAGAGTGTGGGCTCGGGTTGAGGGCATATCGCCTGATACCGAGAGGAGCTTTCCATCCTTAGTAACTAACCCAATTATAGTGTACATCTAACCACGTATAAGCCCCTTAAGTACCCTAATGGGGTTATTGATTAGGTGGTACGTACAGTTATAACTGGGTTACTAAGTACCATGAACCTCCAAGTAGTTTAACAAGTTTAAAGGGCGTATGTGGTTTTACAGACCCCATAGAGACATGGATATCTAGACATCGATAAGAGACAAATATCGATGTAGATGTAGACAGATGTGTAGATAAGACATAGATATTAGAGTCTTTTGTCGTTTACGCATATCATCTCAATCTGGTCACAGTTATGTGCCGTCAAGTTATGAAACGAAATATGCACACGACGCGCACGACACACACGACCAACACACATTCACAAAACAATGCACAAATATAAATATAAATATATATATATATATAAATATATACACGCACTACCAGTCCCCAACAAAGCCGTTGCAAGAAACAGTTACCCCTGTTAAGCCCCCTGCCCCTGCAAACCCCTAGAACGCCCTACATACTCCCCCATTTAGGGTTGTTTGGGGTTTACGGTTTAGGGACCACCCTATGCTCCATAGGCACGCTGTAGGGGGGGGGGGGGGGGGGGGGGGGGGGGAGGGGGAATTTAACTTAGGTGGATGAACCCCCACTTTGTCTTCGCACACATCTCCCAAACGCTCCTGGCCCGCACCCTACCGTGCGTTTCCCAGAAGTATCTGCCCCTTTCCCTTCAGGGCCATAACGGTTCAAAGAGGGCCACCATCAACACTGCGAACCCTGCACCCCATGCGTACGTATAAGTCGTAGTTGCGCAAGAAGTACGCGTGATCCAGCAACTGGGGTTTGCAACTACCAGGCCTAAACCCTAGAATCTCGAGTTCAGGTTATAAACCCAAGCCCTCAAGCCTCCATGGTTCAGGGTTTACGGTTTAAAATATGGGTCGGAATAATGACAAACACTTTATACTATAATGACCCCCAAAACCCTAAACCCTAAAACCCTATTCTAGTTACTTAAGGCCCCTATATTACATTCCATTACCTGCCCAATATATGCCAGCTTGGAGAGGGAGGTTTAAAGCCGAGGAGGCGGTATATATGCAACAAAGACTGGGGCTTGTCACGTTGGAGCTGGTGTGGTTTTAGGGTTTAGGGTTTAGGGTTTAGGGTTTAGGAATGTATAAAGCTAAGCTTGATGGGGGTAAAGAGGATCCCGCGACGGATGTGAGGAGGTCAGGCGAGGTCTTCTACAAGCTACGAAGACGACAAGTCTTCGGGAACGTCTTCTGGATGTGGCAAACGAGCTAAGAATACTTCGTGCGGCGCGCCTTTAAATTAATTGCCGGTTCCCCCCCCCTGGAGGGCGGCCGGGGCTGTGGCCCGTTAAAAATCCGTCTGGGGGGGTGGGACACCGTTTAAAGAGGGCCCGAAGGGGTGCTGAGGGCATGCACTGACAGCCAGGTCCAAGATGACCCAAGGCTTCTAGCCTAAATTGTACGATTTAGGGTGCAGCGTTTGGGGCTTAAGGTACCCTAAACCCTAAACCCTAAACCCTAAACCCTAAACCCTAAACCCCAGACCCTTAACCCTAAACCCTAAATCCCCACACCCGACTCAGCACCCGCATGTCGTGGAGGTGTCCGGCTGCGCCGGCGCAAGCCGCTCGGGCAACAGCATCAATCTAGGGAGTCAACCTTGGACCCGTAAGGATGTACCCCTACACCTTCGGTTAGGGTTAGGGTTTAGGGTTTAGGTTTAGGGTTTGGGGTTTAGGGTTTAGGGTTTAGGCCCCTAAAGAGGCTCCCTTCACATGCTCCAAGTATGGGTTTAGGGTTTAGGGTCTATTTTCCCCTAAACCCTAAACCCTAAACCCTAAACCCTAAACCCTACACCCTCTGGAAAAGGGTCCCTCAAACCCAAGGGTGACAACCTTAGGGGTCCGAGGAAGAGTCCCATGATCGATCAAAGGATGCCCTCCAAGATGGAACGAAGATGGAAGCTTCCGCTGACGGTTTTTTTCTCAGGCCTTCAGGATGAAGGGTTGGTTTGGGGATTAGGGTTTAGGGTTTAGGGTTTAGGGTTTAGGGCTACTAGATCTCCTTATGAGGGCAACGAGCCCTAAAATTCCGCCTGGCGCCCACAGCTCTTGGCTGGTTTTTGGAAGCCTCCGAGCCCTAAACGATCAGAGACGGAACTGCGCCACCCATGCTGCTCTGCACCACGCTCGGGACCACATGCCTCAAGGTTTAGGGTTTAGGGTTTAGGGTTTAGGGTTTAGGGTTTAGGGTTTAGGGTTTAGGGTTTAGGGTTTAGGGTTTAGGGTTTAGGGTTTGGGGATTTAGCGTTTAGGGTGCAGGGCGGAGGGTTTAGCGTTTAGGGCTTGGGGTGTGACTGCGCATGGCTCCGGCTCTCAGATTTGTCATGGGAGTTTCTCGAAACCCTGAAGCCTGAACCGAAAAGCACACTGAAACAATGCTTCCCAGTCACCTGAGAAAGAATGGGGCTTTAAGTTGTGTCAAGAGGGCTTTCGGGTTTAAGGTTTAGGGGCTTAACCCTTCTTTGGTGGAATTCGGGTTCAGGGTCTTGCGGGTTTAGGGTTTAGGGTTTAGGGTTTCGGGTTTCAGGTTTAGGGCCAAGGTGCATGTAGCCGCAGAACTGTGACCACGGAGAGAAGTCCGACTGCGAAGGATCCCGGATCCTCAGCTTTCCGCTCTTAGTATGGGTCAGGGTTTAGGGTTTAAAGGGACAAAGGGTTAAAGGGTTAAGGGTTTGGGGTTTAGGGTAAAGGGTAACGGGGTTTGGGGTTTGGGGTTTGAGGTTTGGGGTTTGGGGGTTGGGGGTTATACCCCTGACAACCTGAGCCAAACATCCTAAACCCCTAGACCCTCGACCTTAAACTCCTGGACCCCTAAACGCCTAAACCCCTAAACCCTAAACCCCTAAACCCCTCGACCTTAAACTCCTGGACCCCTAAACCCTAGACCTAAACGCCTCAACCCCTAAACCCTAAACCCCTAAACCCCTCGACCTTAAACTCCTAGACCCCTAAACCCTAAACCCCTAAACCCTGAATCTCTGTGTTGTAGCTTGTTCATGTAAGGAACCTAGGGATCCAACAAAACGGAAGAAGCGAGAAACCCCTAAACCCTAAACCCTAAACCCTAAACCCTACGCCCAAATCCTGGATGCTGAGGAAAGCCTAGATCCAAGAGCAACCTAGGTGCCCTGGTTGTTTGAAAGGGCCCCTAAGCCTTAAAAAAGGGAATAAGGGCCTTCTCCGGGCCCTAGACTGGGTTGGCCTTTAAGCCCTCTGAAAAAAGTTACATATAGGGTCCCTTATAAACCCAATTAAGGGAAATAAAAAATGTCCCAAAAACCAACCTAGTAGAAGCCGAGGGTCTTCTGCCCCTTGTTGTCCGTATTTCGCACCGGGGTGCCGCCAGGCTTATGGCTCCTGTAGGGGCATGCGGAGCGTTTTTTCGGGCTCAGGGGCCCACAGGGTTTGGGGTTTATGTCGCCTCAAGCCCGAAACCCTAAACCCTAAAGCCTGAACCCTGAACCCTGAACCCTAAACCCTAAACCCTAAACCCTGCTCCAGAAGCCACTCTGATCCATGCGCACCCAGTGGAAGTTCGTGTCCGGCCAGATGAACCTCGGGAGCTCCAGCTTCCGGATTTAGGGTTTAGGGTTTAATCCAGCTTCGGCATTTAGGGTTTAGGGTTTAGGGCTTAGGGTTTAATCCAGCTTCGGCATTTAGGGTTTAGGGTGTAGGGCTTAGGGTTTAGGGTCTAGGGTTTGGGGCTTAGGGTAGTTAAGGGTAGTTTAGGGTGTTTTAGGGTAGTTAGGGTTTAAGGTTTTGGGGTTTTGGGGAGTATGGTTTTGGGGTCGAGGGCTTTGAGTCTAAGTGAGCTTAGTGTTTGCGAGTAGGGTAAGGGTGGCGACTTCAGTCGGGACCTATATAAGAGCATAAGCTAAGACGGGGGCAGGGATGTCTTGTATGAATCCTCAGAAGTGTCACTGAACCAACATAAGGCAAGAGCAACGCCGCCCTAACCTAAAACCGACACCCAGATTCTATAGAGTCTTCCATAGGTGCTGCGTTGGCTCCTGATGCCGCATGTTACAAGGGGGGAGGGATTGGCGGCGGGGAATGGCTTAGGGTTTAGGATTCATGAGGGAGCACCTTTGAATCTTCAAAGCCCAAATTCCAAATCTTAAACCCCGAACCCTAAACCCTAGACCCTAAACCCTAACCCTAAACCCTAAACTCTAAACCCTAGACCCTGAAACCTAAACCCTAAACCCTACATGGCATGCTGGCCATGGGGCAGGGCCACGTAGTGCCCGGTCTCGGGTGGCCCCTTTGGGAGGTCCGTCCCCTGCCACTTTAAGCCGTCGCTCTCGGCGGCAGCGCGGATGGCGTCACAGGTGTTGGCTTTCCTTTCTGCTGGGGGTTTAGGGTTGAGGGTTGAGGGTTTAGGTTTAAATTAGGGGTATTATTGGATTTGGGGTTTAGGGTTTAGGGTTTCGCGTGTCTACCAGTCTAGGTCTTATAAAACCCGAAAAGCTTAAAAACCCTAAGCCTAAAACCCTAAAAAACCCTAAACCCGGAAACCCTAAACCCCGCACCCTCAATAGGGAAAAATATGGTGCCTTGGTTTGAAGGCAGACGGCTCAAAGGCGCATTTCAGAGTTTCCAGCGCATGTCAGGGCTTCGGAGTTTACGGGGGGTTTAGGGCTTCAGGTTGAGGGTTATGGCTTAGGGATTGCGGTTAGAGTTTAGGGCTTCGGGATTAAGGAATTCAGGATAAGAAGCGTACAAACCCTAAACCCTAAACCCTAAACCCTAAACCCTAAACCCTAAGCCTAAACCCTAAACCCTAAACCCTAAACTAAACCCTAAACCCTAAACCCTAAACCCTGACCAAGATTTCAATTTCAGAGAAGACGAAGAGATCCGCTGGACAGCAAAGCTTCCACTTCTGTCCAGATCCACGGCCGGGCTGAGCAAAGGTATCCTGAGCTGTGGTTTAGGGTTTAGGGTTTAGGGTTTAGGGTTTAGGGTTTAGGGTTTAGGGTTTAGGGTTTAGGGTTTAGGGTTTAGGGTTCAGGCCTCACACACAACAGACGCGCGCGCACACAACCACTCACGGACAGAGATACATGCGTAGTTTTAATTTCTGAGAACTAAACTCTCCTTGTCTACATAAAAAACAAATTAGATTATACACACATACAGTATACGGAAATGCATTACTTAATAACCTTCTCTGGGCCTCTGATAAAAAAATAGGAACCTCAAAACAATCAGACTTGGGATGCTCCCCCCTATACTAGCAGTCCCCAGTTGAACCCTAAACCCTAAAACCCTAAACCCTAAACACCCAAAAAACCTAAAACCGTAAACCCTAAACCCCAAAACCCTAAACCCTAAACCCTAAACCCCTGAACCCTAAGCCCTAAACCAAAATCAGACGCACGAACTGCTGAACAGCCAAAGGTATCCGTGGAGATGTCGGTGCCATAGTTGTAGCAGTTGTTCCTCGGGTTCTAGGGTCTTAAGGGTAGTTTCATGGTCCCTTAGTATGGGCCCTTCACATAATATATATATATATATACCCCGGAAAACACTGGGCACCCCACAATTATATAGATACTCCTAGTATGCACTGTAAAACCCAAGGCACCATACTTCAGAACCCTTGAAGGAGGGCAAAGGGCCATGTCGAGGGACCATGAAACTACCCTTAGATAGGGTTTGGGGTTTAGGGTTTAGGGTTTAGGGGTTTAGGTATTTAGGGATTTTAGGGATCTTAGGGTTCTTAGGGCTTAGGGTTTCGGGGGTTGCAAAACTAACGGGCAAGAGGCAAACCCACTGTCCAGCCTCTCGACGACCAGAGTCCGCAGGGGGTGTAGGCTAGAAAGCTTGTTAAGGCCAAGGGGACAAGTTACCCTAACCTGAACCCTAAACCCTAAACCCTAGACCCTAAACCCTAAACAATAAACCCTAACCCTAAACCCGGAACCGCCAAAAGCACACAAAATCTTTCTCTCCATTGAGCAGTCTAAGCTCTGCGACTGATGGCTCACGAAGCAGCCCCGGTCATCCAGGCCGGGCTCGTAGCCTAGGTTCCCCAGTAACCTACCAAAAAAAAGGGTTTAGGGTTTAGGGTTTAGGCTTTAGGGTTTCGGGTTTAGGGTTTAGGGGAAAAAAGGGGTACGCCCTTTGTGGCTTAATTAGGCCATACAAGGGATCCTAAACTCCAAAAAGGAAATAAGGGCCACTACGGGGCATCCTAACTAGCCCTAAACCCTAAACCCTGAACCCTGAACCCTAAACCCTAAACCCTAAACCCTATAAACCCCAAACCCTAAACCCTGTAAACCCCAAACCCTAAACCCTAAATCCAAAATGGAAAGGTGGGAACAAGGGGTACTGCTTGGCATCCCCGCGGCTTGGGACGGAGTCCGGGCCCACCTGGTGCGAGCAAGTTGCAGCCACCCTAAACCCTAAACCCTAAACCCTAAAGCCTTAAACCCTAAAACCCTAAACCCTAAAACCCTATAAACCTATAAACCCTAGAAACCCTAAAGCCCGAAAAACCCTACGAAACCCCCACTAAAAACCCTAGACTACCAAAACCCTACCAAAACCCTACTAAAACCCTACTAAAACCCTACTAAAACCCTACTAAAACCCTAAAACCCTACAGAAACCCCCTACGTGCGGGCCCACCTGGTGCGAGCAATTTGCGGACTCCACGATGGTCAGGTCGAAGTCGGGCAAGTCCAGCTCCCCGGTGTGGTCCTAAGGATGTCAGAAATAGGGTTTAGGGTTTAGGGCTTAGAGTTTATAATTTCTGTTTTTGGTGAGTGTATATAAGGTTCCTTTTCCATATTGGTGAGTGGTATATACTTGGTGTCCTTTTGGATGAAAAGTTGGTCTAGGGCTTGAGGGCTTTTAGGGTTTCTTGGAGCTTCGGGGTTATAGGGTTTTTGGGCTTCTGGGGTTAACCCTAAAGGTTTTAGGGCTTCAGGGGTTTAGGGTTTAAGGTTGAGGTGTGGTCCTAAGGATGTAGAGTTGGTTAAGGGCTTTAGGGCTAATTTAGTACAGGGTTTAGGGTTTAGGGTTTAGGGTTTAGGGTTTAGGGTTTAGGGTTTAGGGTTTAGGGTTTAGGGTTTAGGGTTTAGGGAGTTTCGGGGTTGTAGGGTTTTGGGGCTTTTGGGGTTTTACTGTCTTCGGGGTTTGGGGTTTTAGGGTTTGAGGGCTTTTAGGGTTTTTGCAGGGGGGGTTGGGACTTTGGGGCTTTGGGTCTTTCTTGAGTTTAGGGTTTTAGGGTTTTAGGGTTTTAGGGTTTTAGGGTTTTAGGGTTTTAGGGTTTTAGGGTTTTAGTGTGGTCCAAAGGGTGTAGAGTTGGTTTAGGGTTTAGCGTTTAGGGGTTTAGGGCTTTAGGGCGCAGGGGGGGTACCTCGGCGGCTTCTCTGTGGAGGAACCCGCAACCCGCACCGTGCGACTTCAAGGACCATGGGAGCTGGGTGAGCATCCTAGGGTGGAAAGTCTTAACCCTAAACCCTAAACCCTAAACCCTAAACCGTTTAAATTTGGGGTTTTTGGTCTGGTTGGGGTCTCTGCGTGGGACCCACCTGCTGGGACTCGCATGGACCACCCTGCATCCCCGCCCTTCTAAAAACCTCTTCACCCTTTCAACTGCCTTTACCCTACACCCTGTTCTCCTGCGGTCTTAAATCTTAGGGCTTGAGGGTGTTTTGGTTTTGGGGGTTTTGGGGCTTTCGGGTCTTGGGGTTTTAGGGTTTTAGAGTTGGGTTTATAGGGTCTCAGGGTCTCAACGTCTTAGGGTCTCATCTTCGCTTTCCTAGTCACTGCTCTGAAAAGCGTCGGTGCTGACGGCCGCCGACCAGCGGCTTGCGCGTTGAAAAAAAGAAAAAAGGTTTTTGGGTTTTAGGTTTTTTGGTTTTTGTTTGGGATTTTAGGTCTTTTTTAAAGGTTTTTAGGTTTTAGTTTTTTTTTGGTTTTTAGGGGTCTGAGGGTTTTGTAGGCTTTGGATGTCGAGTTGGCTTGGGTTCGGGGATGTTTTCTGGGGGATTTGCTTGGTGATTTTGGGCGGCTCATGGGTTGTTTTAGGGTTTAGGGTTTAGGGTTTAGGGTTTAGAATTTAAGGTTTGTTATAAGGTTTTTGAAAGGGCTTGGGATTTGTTAGGGTGCTTCGGGCGTTTGGGAGGGCCACACCCCCCCGGGTTCTGCGAAGCGTCTCGCGCCATCTCGTCCCGAATGTAATCAATCACCGTCTGCGAAACCGTCGACTGCAGGAGGGTCAGAAGTAGGTTCTCTGCATGCCGACACCCACGCACCACCTTACTTCTGCAAAGGCAAGGGAAGAAAAACCATGTGATGCAACTTTGTTCTCAACAGGGAAAACAAAAAAGGTGGCTTAAAGCTCTACTCTTGGCCAAGCAAGCCACGAAGGGCTTGCCTGCTCCCTCGACCCAAAAGCCACGGTAGCCCACGGTCACGTTGGTGTAGCCAAGCACGCACCCTTGCAGAAGCCAAGGGCAAGCGAGGGTATCTCAAGGTTCATGAATATCAGTATGAGTATGATCAGAGAAAAAACCAGGATCATTGATAGCTTGTGTCACTCAACCCTACCAGAATCGAAGCTCTAGCGAGCCACGATGTTCCTGTGCCATCCAGCGCTCAACCCCCCAAAAGCGTTTCGGCTGGACACTTGAAAAATGTCCTGCTTTGAGATGGTGACGGCATTGTAGACCAGTGGCTCCAATGCAAAACCCACTCTAAACTGGGAATCAGAGCTGGTGCATTCACTAGGCTAGCAGCTTCCTCCAACACCCTGTTAACAAATACTCCCAGACGAAAATCTCCTAGGGGAAGTATGAAATATCGAAGCCCTACACCTGAACCCAGCCTGTTACAAGTTACAAAACACTCCTACATGAATTCTCCTAGGGGAAATATGAAATATCCCGAAGCCCTACTGTGCAACATCCCGACAACCTTCTGCATCTGAATCCGACCGGCCTCTCAGTCGGGAAAGCAGCTCCGACACCTCGTCCTCTGCGTTGGGGGCCCGAGACTCCACAAACCCCGTTCAGGGTTTAGGCTTTAGGGTTCTAGGGTCTAGGGTCTAGGGTCTAGGGTGTAGGGTTTAGGGTTTAGGGTTTAGGGTTACCCTGTACATCCGGTAAACCCTCTAAGCCTCTAAGCCAAACCCTGTAAGCCCTGTAAACCATGCAAGCTGCGCTGACCCTAAACCCTAAACCCTATTCCCGAAATTCCCTAAATTCCCCATTACGGGAGTGGCTTTCAAAACCGAAGCAGTTCAAACCCTAAACCCTAAACGTGGCTTTCAAACCCCGCGCCAACTCCAAGTCCACGCGCGGATTCGGCGTGCCGGAAAACACCTGGGCGACGATGAGGAGCTCGAAGGGATTGGGGTTTCAGGGTTTAGGCTTTAGGGTTTCGGGTTTAGGGTTTCGGGTTTAGGGTTTAGGGTTTAGTGTTTATGGTCTCGGGTTCAGGGTTCAGAGTTGAGGGTTTGGGGTTTAGGGTTTAGGGCTTGGCGTTTCGGGTTGAGGGTCTTCAGTTCCGGTTTATCTAGGCTGCCCAGTAACCTAGGCTTAAAAAGGGTGCCCTTTTTTGCTTAAAGGGGTCTATAAGGGAACCTAAACCCCCCAAAAAGGGAATAAGGGTACTACTGGGCATCCTTGTTTTCGGGTTTCTAGGGTCCAGGGTTCAGGGTTTAGGTCTGCAGGGTCGAGGCGCCATGGACCCCGGAAGGTTGGACTCTTTTAGGGGAAGGGAATATAGGAAGCCCTATAACACACTCACGCCCAAAACCCAAACCTAGAAGCACCAGCACCTGAAACCCTGAAACCCTGAAACCCTGAAGCCCTGAAGCCCTGAAGCCCTGAAACCCTGAAACCCTGAAACCCTGAACCCTAAACCCTAAACCCTAAACCCTAAACACTAAACCAAAGCTGCCCCCAAAGGCGCGATTGGAGAGATGGTGACGCCCTGTGCAGCTGCCAGCAGCCCGAACATGGAGAAGGGGAGCATGGACACCATGGCTTGGATCTCTAGCCCTAAACCCTAAACCCTAAGCCCTAAACCCTAAACCCAAAACCCTAAACCCTAGACACTAAGCTCCAAAAATCCTCAACCTGAAAACGCAACTTGGCTTCGAAACCGTCAGCAGCTGGCGGAGGCGGCGTTCGGAGGTTGTCAAGTTCGGGGGCTGGAGGGTTTAGGGTTTAGGGTGGGTTTAGGGTTTAGGGTTTAGGGTTTAGGGTTTAGGGTTTAGGGTTTAGGGTTTAGGGTTTAGGGTTTAGGGTTTAGGGTCTAGGGTCTAGGGTTTAGGGCTAGTCTGAGTTCACCACAGATTCCACAGAATCCGAGCTTGGGTTTACCTGGGCCCCATGTACCTCCTAGACCCAAGAGCAACCTAGGAATAAACAGGGTGCCCTTTTTGGTTTGAAGGGGCTTGTCAAGGAACCTGATCCTTACAACCAGGGAATAGGGGCATACTCTGGTTCCTTGCCTCCTACTCGCGAGGGGGAGGGGGCGGGGTGCACAACGTTCTGAAACGGAGCCTTGCGGGTTCAGGCCCCAACCCGAAACCCTCCAAAACCCAAAACCCTCAACCCCAACCCCCCCGGTGAACACTAAACCCTAAACCCTAAACCCTAAACCCTAAACCCTAAACCCTAAACCCTAAACCCTAAACCCTAAACCCTAAACCCTAAGCCCTAAAACGTCGGGCTCGCTCCGGGGGATGGTTGCGGCAAACGGGGACTTGCAACCCGTCTAGCAGTCTGAGGGTTGAGGCCATTTAGGGTTTAGGGTTTAGGGTTTAGGGTTTAGGTTTAGGGTTTAGGGTTTAGGGTTTAGGGTTTAGGGTTTAGGGTTTAGGGTTTAGGGTTTAGGGGGCGAAAGGTAAACGAGTACCCACAATAACACAGCGAGGCCTGCAGGGCAGAGCCTTGGGATGTTCCCCCCTTACACGAACAAGCAGGGCCTCTCGTGCCCTGAAGCGAAATCTGTTCGCGGCTCCTCGTCGACAATCTGCTGCAGCCTGCTAATGTTGGAGCCCGCCTCCTCGGAGAGGAAAGTGTACTGCCGTTAGAACCTTAATAACAATAATACTTTTAATATCCACTTGGGTTGTATATAAACAAAAATAATTCCCCAGGGGGATATAGGAAAAGCCCGTGACGAGAGGTTGAAGGTTGAAGGTTGAATGGCTCAAGGCTCAAGGTGCTGCCTGCGCACGTAGCTGTGCGTTGCTGTGTTAACGGGGCTCTGGGTTCAACCGGTTTTTGGTTCCCAGGCTCTTTCTTAACCCCAACTCCTCAGCTCGAGCCATTGTGCGCGCAAATTTGTGGGTCAGCTTCGCGGAACAAAGACTGCACGAGCAAGTGACCCCTTCAAGTGGAGCCCCAAGTCCGGCAACGAGCAGTTAAAAAGGAAAAAAAAAAACTGCAAAGGGAGTACTGCTAAGCACTCTTGTTGACAAGGGTAGGGCTACCCACCCCAATGGCGAAGCCTCGGCCGTTCTTCACCTGCAAGAAGTGCGGAGACGCTTCCTGGATTTACCAGAACCAGGCAGCCAAAACACCCCACTGCAAATACTGTGGGAACAAATGGCCCCAGCCAAAGCAGTCGCAAGCGGAAGCCTGGACATGATATTGGGAACCGGAAGCGTGGACCCCAAATAGCCGCAAACCACGCAGCCCGAAGCCCCGCAAGCAAGGGAAGGCAGCTGCTGCCTTGGAGCAGGCGTGGAAGAACCTTGGGCCAGAGGCCCGAGCCGCCATCGAAGAGGCAGGATGGAGCCCAAGTAGGGACCTCCAAGCGCCGCCTGGCCTGGGAGGGATAGAGCAGCTCACCCCCCAAGAATATCATGGCGCAGTCAGCGAGCTGTGGAAGGACGCGGACGCAGCCACACAAAAGGTGCTCAAGGCAGCAGGCATTGAGCCCCCAAGGCAAGAGGCGGACGAGTCCCTCACGCCAAGAAAGGCCCTGCAGAAAGTTATGCAGGAATATAAGCAGCTCACGGCTGAGCACCGGGGACTCATCGCCAAGAAGGCGGCACTGCAAGTCAAGACAGAGAAGCTCAAGCAGCAGTTTCACCAAAGCATCGCCGACCTAGGGAGCCTCACCAAGGAAATCGAAGAAAAAGAACAAGCGGTCGAAAAGGCCCAGGAAAGAGCTCGCGAGCAAATTAAAGGGCCTCAAGCTCCAGCCGCAGTCGAGGAAATCACCGCCATCCTCAAGCAGGCTGGAATACAGCTCACCCCCGAACTGGGGGAACAAATTTGTCAGCACATTGCCCAAAGACCAGAGCTTGATCTTGAAATGGAAAGCGTCTGGGGAGTAGAGGCAGGGACACCGGCTGAGCTGCTTGCCAGTGGACCCGGCCCCGCGTACGGGCCAGCAAGACGCAAAAGTGTCCAACGCGAGAGTCCGCTCGAGGCCGCCCCCCCTGGGCAGGCGGAGCACTCCGCGTAGGAAACAGGGTGGCCCTGGAGGCGGCGGCAACCCTCCAGGACCGCTTCACCCGTTCAGCCGCAACCCGCCCCTGGGGCCGTTAAGCTGGCGCAGGAGCACTTACCTCCGCACAAGGAGTTGCTTCTGCCCCAACCCCAACCGGGGGAAGCTGGCGACTGTGAGCAGTCCCACAGCCTATCCTGTCCACGGAGCACTGCCCACCGGCTGCAAGCCAAGCGCAGCACCAAGGCCCAGAGGAAAGGACTCAGCCGCACAGCGTCTGGACAAAGAGTGCTGAAGCGGGTGAGCCCTTCTCTGTACCCCCTTGGCAATATAGGGGAGCCGCTCCTCACTGGTGCCCTCTTCTTCAAAGAAGGTTTCGTCTCCCCGCAATCCTTTCCTAAAAGGCGCAGAACTCGGAACCGAAGCAAGCCCCTTAACGGTCAGAACGGTGGCCAAGAGGCGGTAAGCCTGCACAGGCGCAAGCTCAAAGCACGGCTCAAAAAGTGGAAGTACATTCAAAGCATTCTCCAGAAACACTCGGAAATCCCTGAGTGCGAAGAGGAGGCCATTCTCAACCTGGCTGAAGAAGTGGAGGGTGGTGGTGACCCCGGTTCCCTGGAGACCTGGACCATCAAAGCTCTTCTTGAAGCAGCGTCCAGCAGGGACTCTTCAGGGTTGGAGCTCCTCGCCCGCGCCGCCGAGGATATTATCGACGATCTTCAGGCTGGCAGAGATAGCGTAATTGCGATCCGGTCCTCAAACATCACCACTTGGAGGAAGGAAATCCAGGCTTGGATAAAGGCCAGCAAGGAGGACATTTTCCTTCTGCAAGAGACTCACCTTAACAAGAAGGCCTACCACCAGATGTACCGGCAAATGACGCAGGCCGGGTATCAGGTGTTCGGGGGTCAAGCGCACCCGTGCGAGACCAAAGGCACTAAAGGTGGAGTCTGCGTCCTCGTAAAATCGCACATGCAGGCGGCCTCCCAAGGCCAGCACATTGTTGAAGGTGCAGGAATAGAGGCGATATGTGTCCGCCGGGGAGGTGTTAGCCTCCTTCTCATCAGCGTCTACCTCAAGTGCAGCACCCCGCTCGATATTCCTCCCAACAGCGAAATCATGGCAGCCCTGCTCAGCGTGCTTTCGCAGCATAAAGGACAGTGGCTAGTCGCAGGAGACTGGAACTGCACACCGGAAGAGCTTCTCTCCACTAACATTCTGCCCCATATTAAGGGTCACCTGATCGCAACTGGAGAGGCAACGTGCCAATCCGGTCGAGAGCTCGATTTTTACATCATCAGTGCAGGCCTGCAAGGCAAGGTCAGAAGCACGGTGGACTGGACAGTGCCCCACAGGCCGCACGCTGGCCTCTGTATTTCCCTTACCGTGCCTGGCAAAAGGGCTACTCTCCGCCAGCTTCCATGTTTCCCCGAGGCTATAGCTGTGGAGGAGCCTGTGTATGAATCCGCCAGTGTTCAAACACCCATCAGCATCCTCGGCCAGACCAGCATCAACGACGTCGTGTCTCTTTCCTTTGCACGTCTGTCAGCAGCATGCCAAAAGGCCCTCTACCCCAACGAGACAATGCCAAGGGGAGCCAGCCTCGACTTTCTGCGAAAGCCGGCACTCAAGCCCGACCCGGTGGGGTTGTACTCCGCCCAGCCCGCGCTCTGGGCGAAGGCGGCAGCCTGGTTACTCGGCCTCACCACCGACTGTGCCCGGGCTTACCCGGCCTCCGGCGTGCATCAGCTCATAGGGACCCTCCTTGTGCCTGAAGGGTACGGCGCCAAGCCTGGCTGGCAAACAGACCTTATGAATACCCTTCTTGGCCAAAGTGAGGTCCAGGAGGAGCTGGTAGAGTGGGTCAATGCCATCGCCAAGCACTCAAGCAGCGAAGTGCGAAAAACCGGGCGCGCGGAGTATGAAGAATGGATCACCGGCGCCGTCAAGAAAGGTATGAGGCCTCTTTTCAGGGCAGTCAAGGCACACGAGCAGTGTTTCGACCGGCCCTTCCGCGATCATGACCCAAAAAGCAGACCATTTTTGAGGCTTAAGCAGTGGATGCCAATCTGGAAAGCAGGCCCCTCGCCTGCCGAGGCCTGCATCGCGCGGGTTAAAGACCGGGCTATATGCGAACGGGCAACGCTGGCCCCGCTCAGCTCCGACGAAGTCGGCACCAGGCTTCGGCGATGCCCCCTCCGGGCGCCAGGCCCTGACAGGTGGACCCCCGCTATGGCCCGCAGCCTGCCTCCCGAAGCGGTTGAGGAGCTCACCGCCATCCTCAACCTCATAGAAGAAAAAGGGGAAGCCCCTGCGCAGTGGAGGATCGTAAAGGTCGTCATGCTTGTAAAGAACGAAGTGGTGGAACGCCCTATTGGGCTTTGCCACATCGTTTACAAGATATGGATGCAAGCAAGATACGGGCTTATTCAAGCCTGGCTGTCCGAATACACCAAGACGGCAACTTGGGACGCTGCCCAACCGGGCGTCGCGTGCTTGAGTATTGCTGTACAGCGGGTTCTGCAAGCCGAAATTGCCAAATGCAGCAAGCGGCCCCGCATCTCGCTTTTCCTTGACCTTTCTACGTTTTTTGAAACAGTCGATCACCACAAGCTGGCGCACATGGCAGAGATCCTCGCCTTTCCAGCAACGGTCCTGAATGTAGCCCTTCAAGTTTATCGGGGCGGCAGAGTAATTTGCGCGGAAGGGCAAACCAGCCCGCCCGCTTTCCCCACGAGAGGTATCGTCGCCGGTTGCCCGGCGGCGCCTGTGCTGAGCAAAGTCGCTCTTCACCTCCCGTGCTCTCGAGCCTCGGACTCTGGGCTGGCAGACAACATCGACGTATGGATCGATGATATAAGCGCAGACTTCGAGGGGCGCAACCCAGCGGAAGTAGCCTGGAAAGCCGTCAAGCTGTACAGACAGCTGCGCGCCGACCTTGGGAGTGAGTCGCTCCTCCTCAGCGAAAAGAAGTCCGCTTTCATCTGTACCGATAAAACTGTCGCCAAGAGCCTACAGCAGCTCTTAAAGCCAGGTGAGCCGAAAATTGAAAATCTGGTCAAAGACTTAGGAGTGGACAGCGCAGGAGCGCGCAGAAGGAGGGTTAAGCAGTCCAACACCCGCCTCCGCAAAGCTGGACTGCGTAGCCAAAAACTGCGCCAGCTAAGGGTCCCCGACAAGAAATGCCTCCACAGGGCATCCAGAGCCTCAATCTTCACGGCGGGCACGTGGGGGCACCAGGCGGCGGGGCTTTCCCCGAAGCGTATGAAATCAGTGCGAGCCGCCGCCGGGACCCACGCAGGCCGCTTAGGGTATGGATCCTTGGACGTGGTCTACGACCTCGGCGAGAACGATGAAAAGGATCATCCTCGAACATTGGAGCACCCTTGCCCACTGTGTCAAAGCCGACAAGCCAGCAGCTCAGAAGTTACTCACGGCGTGGGAGGTCATGTGGAAAAGGGGCTCGAACAGCCCTCACCCTTGGCGCATTGCTGTGGGGCCCCTCGGCGCTATGCAGTGCTACCTACGCGACATGGGGTATGATGCGCCAACCTTCTCCTCTTGGAGGCGGCCTACAGGACGTCATCCCGTGGGGCTCCCCCACAGCTGGCCTAGAAGTCAAGGATCAGCTGGATGCAGCAATCGACCAGGACAGGTGGCAAAGGATTGCGGCGCAAGAAGGAGGTACAGGAGCTGAGCAAGGGCTGGATTGGAGCGCGGCCAGAAAGCTCCTCAAAAAACACTCCAAAAACCACCTCCTCCGTTCGGGTCTGCGCATGCTGTGGCAAGGTGCTATCAAAAGAGCCTCACACGGGGGGCCCGATGCGTGTGAGGTGTGCGGGGAACCCAACACGCTTCGCCACGCTCTGCAGGAATGCCCTGCTTGGGCAAGCCACGACATTGGGCCTGACCCTGCATGGAGGGTAAGCCTGCCCCAAGCTCCTCGTTGCCTTTGGGAAAGAGGTCTGGTCCCCAAGCAGCTCACCGTGCACCCGGCCCTGCCGGCTGAGCTCCTCGCCGTGCAAAAAACGGGGTTCTTCCTTCAGCCTGATCCGTGCAAGGAGGTGTATTTCGGGACCGACGCCACGGGAGGCCTCAAGGGCAATGATCCCAGGCTCCGCCTTGTCTCCTGGGCAGTTGTTGCCATCCAACCCCTGGGAGGAGACCTTCCGACTGACCCGGCGGGGGAGCTGTTCCCCAAAACGCGCTTCAAGGTTGTAGGAACCATGAAGGGGGCGCTCCAAATTGGAGCCACGGTCAATGACGGCGAATGTGTTGCTCTCGACCAGCTCGCCTGTTTTGTCGGCCAAACCGCCAGCGTTGCGGTCGACAGCAAAGTCGCTGCTAAGCGTTGCCAAAACCCAATTGCGGAGAGAATATGGCCGCAAATATGGGAAAGTCAAGCTAGCCAGAGGGCAAGGCTCCAAGTCACCTGGACGAAAGGCCACTTAAACGAAGAGCAGCACGCAAAGAGATTTGGCGTGAGCTGCAATTGGGCGTGGGCAGCCAACCTCCTCGCCGACGATATCTGTGGTAAGCTCAGCGCCTGCCTCTTCTCGCAGGAGCAAGCGGCGCTCACCGACACATGCGACAAGGTGGCCACTGCGGTTAGCACATGGTTAGGCAAGAGATGCGCTCACCTCCTTGCCACAGCCAAACCCACGAAGGGACCCAAGGACCACCCTTTTCAGGAGCTACCCAATAAGAACCCCTCTCCCCCGAAAGCAGTGGGCCCTAATAAAAAGCAGCGGATGCTTGCGGCCTCGGCCGTGCAAGATCCGCACACGGGACACACATGGAAGGTCACCTCGCACACTGTGTCCAATCTCTGCATGAAATGCAGCACTTGCGGATTGCTTGCGCAGCAAAAAGACCATGCGCCTTTCCTAGAGAGCATCCTGGCGCACCCCTGTGCCGGCAGAGAGGCCTCTGTCCCGCATTCCGCCAAAGTCCACTGCAGCCACAGTATGACCAACCAGGGTAACGCATGGCAATGTACCCAGTGCCATGCCAAGCTAAAGTTCAGGTTCACCACCACCTCCGCGTGCCTGAAATCGGCCTGCGCAGGCAAGAGTGTTCGCAAAAAAGCAGTCACAAGGGGAGGGCCCGGGGACGGGGTGCCTGCCCAACAGGGGAACATCATTGCGGCCTTCCATGCAAAGGACCGCCCCTTTTCCTCCCGTAATTGTGATTGTGGCCCAAACCCCCGCCCCACCTCCGGGGAAGCCAATCCCTCCAACCGCGCCGAAGTAGGGGAGGGACCACCTTTCCTGGTAACGGGTTTTTCCCCTAATCTTGGCGAAAGCTTTCCCCCAATGCAACGGGGCCCCAAGCCTAAGGCCAAACCAACGAAAACTTGCCCTCTCATGCAAAAGCCCCTCATGTTTAAGTAATCCGGCTTTCCTCGCAGCCGTTGGCTCAAGAGGGACGCGCTGCGCGCCCTTAGGTGCCCGCAGAGCTGAGCTAACACGATTGTAGCTAGAAGGTACGCTGCACCGCCCGCCCCAGACCCTTAACCAGAAGGTGCGCTGCGCCCTCCACTGACAGTTAGGGACAGGTAGGGATTTCGCAGGGTAGCCGCCGCCCAACCCCGCCTCTGTATCCCTTGCAGGTGAGCTTCTCCCTGCCATGGGCAAACCAGGGCAGGGGAAGTACCAGCCGAAAGGTAAGGGATGCAAGGGCAAAACAAAGAGCACTCTTCCCCGTCAACTTCAGGATGCAGCAGCTGTTGTCAACAGCAAACGAAGGAGCGAGAACTTGCCCACAAAGTCAGTCGCCTCCATAGCTAGGTCCAAGGCGAGATCTGGCTTGCACCATGATGCAATATCTGAGGCTCGGGAGATCGACAGCAGGAGCATAGCTGCACCGGCGAAAGCCCCGCCGCCCCCTCCTGAATCCAAGCGACAAAAGGAGGAGAGGGAAGCGAGGGAGGCGCTCAAAATTGCATGCGCTGAGCCACTGCCGTGGAAAAGGCGAGAAATGAAGAGAGCCCAGTCGCAGGATAGTGGAGCCCTTTCGAGCACTGGGCCTACGGAGGAGGTAGCTCAGGCGGCTCTCCGGGCCACACCGCCGTGGGTTGAGATGCTCACCCAATCGGCCAACGGCGAAGCGACACTGACAGGACCGCGTGAGCCCAACAGAAGCAACCCTAGGGCGCTGCTTCACTTTGTGCCCCAAAGGTTGATGCCCACTGCAGAGGCCTGGCCTTTCGGGCCCCTCACGCAACTCAAGCCTGGGAACGACAAAATCACGTTTGCTCTCCCTGACGATTGGATCCTCAAAATGTCCATCCAACAGTTAACACCAGAGAAGGCCTACGGTGAGTTGCTCCCGGGCTTGGTGGCAAGGACCATTTGGACCGGAAGGCTGAGGGTACGCCTGTTTACCACGGAGGCAGCCACGACGCTGGCGCTCGAGGGTTCCATCCAGGCCAAGATGGACCATGCGATTGACTGGCTCACCCACGCTGGGTCAAGAGATCGCCTCCGTTTCCTGGCGTACTACAGCATTGTTTTGGTATACCTTGCCTCAACCTGCCAACTTACTTTGAAAGACCTCGGAGAGAACAATCTCGCACTGTGGCCGGGTACGAGCTCCTCCCCGGTTCCGCGCCTTGGCTTTTACGACACCCTGACTTGGAGGAAAGGCGGCAAACCGTCCACAGGGTGGAGTGGCTTCTGGAACCTCGTCAAGAAGTTTGAGCCATTGCGGGTCAGCTGGTTTGCCTCTGTCCTGGCAGACCCTTTCAAGAACCCCGGGGCCACAGTCCAAACTCTCCTTGAGGAATGCCAGCCCTATCTCGAGCATCTGATTCATCAAGGAGTTCTAACTCCGCAGGGGCATTTTGCCGAAAATGAACCTGCTCGAGGATAAGAGATTTCGGGCCCAACGCGGGGCTGGTGCACATATAATTGGGACATGGTGAGCTGCTCCCTTTCCCGTTTTCGCAGCCCCGCTGCCGTTTCACTTTAACCGGTCGAGCATTGCGCTCCCGAAGGGGCACCGCCCAGCGAATCTGACCGCTTGAGATGACGAGAGGTTGAAGGTCGCGCGAGGGCCGCTGCTGCCCCAAGCCACAAAAATCTGAACCCTAGAATGTGCCTAAGGGTACTTACTCAAGGGGTTTAGGGTTTAGGCTGAACAGCCTTAATTCCTGTAGCTTGTCACATGGCAGATTCAGGATCTCGCCTACCAGTTTTGCCATGATATATCTCACACTTGCAGGAGAAGGGGCCCAAAAAGCAGCCATTGAACTGAACTGACTCCCCAAAAGGAAATGAGAAACATAAAGATGGCTTACGTTCCTTCAGCTAATCCCCGGAGTCGTGACAGCCCCTAAAGATCATGACAGCTCTTAATTCTGGCGAAACCTAAACCCTCTGAATCCTGAACCCTAAACCCGAAACCCTGAACCCTGAACCCCAAACCCTGAACCTTGTATAGGGTTCGGGTCTCTGCAAACCCCTAAAGCCGTCGTCCGAGTTTCTGCAAGCGACTCGGCAAGCACGCGGCGCTTGTGCTCTGCCTTGGCGTCCAGCTTGGATCATGAGGGCTTGGGATACTGTTCGGGTTTGGGGTTTAGGGTTTAGGGTTCAGGGTTTAGGATTTAGGGTTCAGGGTTTAGGATTTAGTGTTTAAGGGAAGAACCAACAAACAATGAAAATACTCTTCCTTGCAAGGCCAATACAAGGACGAGAGCCCTGATTTTTCTGCCCTGTATTTTCGGGGGCTCTTAAACAAGTAGTACATAGCTTGAGGTCTGAAAAATTGGGCTGAGATTTTACAGCCCAATTTAGGGCTCGGCTTTGGGGTTTTGGCGCTTCGGGGGTCAGGATTCGGGGTTGGGGGCGGCTGGCTCGACTGGTCCGAGCTCCGTGTTGAGGATTAAGAATGCCACGAGATGCCCGAAATCGAAAACCCGAAACCCCCAAACCCCCAAACCCCGAACACAAGAAAACCCCAAACCCCCAAACCCAACCCCAAACCCCCAAACCCCCAACACAGGTTTCTCAAGGTCTGGGGCATTTTGGGAGTTTCATGTCTTAGGGTTTAGGGCTTCAGGGTTTCAAGATTAGGGTTTAGGGATTAAGGAAACTCAGAATGCCAACCCCCGAGACCCTACTGGCTGCTGCTGCCCGAACTACGGCCACCGTCCTGGCACCTGGGCTACCAGTACTGCTCCAGTGTTAAACACCCCATACAACCCTCAAAGACCTACAACTCCATGCCCTAAACCGTAAACCCTAGACCCTAAACCCTCAACCCTAAACCCTAAAACCCTAAACCCTCATGTAAGGTACTGTTTCAGGATGTCTGAATCCCAAAGCCCCGCCAAGATCTGGAGCATCATGCCAGCTGTCTTGGTAGCTGTGGCAATAGTACGAGCTTCACGCCCATCTTCGCGAAGCTGGCCATTTGGGTGGCACAGGCGGCCACGGCGAAGTGACTCAACCTGTCGCACCCGTCGAAGTCCCGGCTTTTGGAGTGTTTTGAGGGCTTGCTCTGGCCTGTGCCCTCGTGGCGTCCGAAAACGCCTGCGCCTGGAGCTTGTGGGCCGGGAGTGCTGATCTTAAGGCCGTTCGTGAATATAGAAACCCCCATTGACCTACAACTCCGAGCTCCCTGAGCCTTGTGTGAGCTTCAAAAAACGCTGCAACAACCCAAGATCTCTGAGATGCACTTAAACCCAAAAAACTTTGAATCATGGGTACGATCAAGTAGGGTAGTGAGTAAGGCAACCGTTGGCCTATACGATAACCATGTAAGGCACGAGTCTCAATATGTCTGAAACCCAAAACCCTCCACCCCCGTTCGTGAACTTCGAAACATAACCTGTCTGTAGCCCGAGCCGCTGTGGCGTGGCGCGCCTCTGCAGATTCCTTCTGGGCTTGCATCTTGGGATGATTAGACTTTAGCTGTATTTTGTTCCAGCCATGTTGCATGGGGAAAGTAGATGTACGGCAGTAATCCAGGCACGGTCGTGCCTTGCATGCTTGCACGCTGCGAGACATGCAGCATCATGGGGCCGGAGTCCACGCGGCCGCCGCGCGCGTGGCATCCGCCCCTTCCGCATCATGTGGCTTGAAAAGCCATAAATATCAACCTCGAACTTGGGTACCCCAAAGGGCGGTTTAGGGTTTAGGACTTAGGGTTTACCAGCAACAACAGCCCGGCATTTTTGATCGAACTTTTGGTGTTTTGTCCCTGGCCCATCGTGAAAGTGCTGGGTTGGGATGTTCCCTCTTATACTACCAGCTCCTTCATAAGTACTGTACCCCCTATTGTAATCCCGATTAAGGATGGTTAATCAAAGGGGGAACATCCCAAAGCATGGGCCCTATTAACCCTAAACTACGCCCCGTAAAACCCCTACTTATGCAGAGTACCCATGTCCTGCAGCGCACGAACCTCGGCCAACTCCTTGTGGGGTGAGGGTGTTTAGGGATTTAGGGTTTAGGGCTTAGGGATTTAGGGATTTAGGGTTTAGGGTTTAGGGGTTTAGGGATTTAGGGATTTAGGCGGGGGTACTTCTCACACGGGCTCAGGGTTTGATGTTTCAGTCTGGGGATACTTCTCAGGGGTTTAGCGGAAAAAGGAATTCAGGGGGTCAGGGGACTGTCCCGAGGTTGAACCCACAAGAACTCGGGCTTTGGGGTTTAGGGAATCGGGATATGGGCCTCCTTCAGGTTCTAAGCTGCCCAGTAACCAAGGCTTAAAAAGGGTGCCCCTTTTTTGCTTAAAGGGGTTTATAAGGGAACCTAAACCCCCCAAAAAGGGAATAAGGGTACTACTGGGCATGCTAGGGTTTAAGATATGGGGTAGGGATTCGGGATTGGGGTTTGGGGATTAGGGTTTAGGGTATAGGGTTTCAGGGTTTCTGTTTGAGTGTCGGAGGTTTCGGGGTTGAGGGTGTGCTGGCTAGAGGCCCAAACCACCCTAAACCCCAACCCTGAACTCTAAGCCGAAATCCTCAAACCCTAAACCCTGAACCCAAAACCCGAACCCTTCATTGGGTACCTCAAAACCGTGCCGTGCGATCGGAAGCCCGAGATTCTTACTTTCCTACCCTGACGTTATAGGGCTCTTAAGAACGTAAAGGGATTGATTTAGGGATCTGAGGGTCGCAGGGTTTAAAGCGCAAGGAGTGTTTGGGGCGGTCCTGAAAACCTTAGCCCCTACACACCCCTGTTTCCTTGGGGTTTAGGGTTCAGGGTTCAGGGTGCATGAACGGCCCCCTAAACCCTGAACCCTGCGTAACTTAAAGCCCTTGACCCGAAACCGGCAACTCACTTGCAGCCAGCGCTCGGCAGTTAGTTCCCCCACGGACTGCTTGTTGGGCGCAGGCCTGAGGGGCTGTTTAGGGATTCGGATTTGACGGTTGAAGGGTCTGCGGGCTTAGGGAGGCGCTTGCTTACAACCCCAAATCCCAGTGTTCAGAGTAGACAGCATAGGGATTTCGCAGTCAACCGCCTACGGGTAATCCTCTACGGTAGTTACATGGTCCCTCAGTATGGGCCCTGAAAAGCGGACCCTTATATACCCCTTATATACGCGGGCCTATACTTCAGAACCCCTAAACCCTAAACCCTAAACCCTAAACCCTTAGATGATCAAGGTATGGAGGGGGGGGGGGGGTTGGAGCTACTTGAGAGATCCGCATTCTGCACCCCCAAGGCCGGCCCTCTCCGAAGCCCAGAAAACCACCTCCCTCTCAACCTGAAACCCTAAACCCTAAACCCTAAACCCTAAACCTGAAACCCTAAACCCTAAACCTGAAACCCTAAACCCTAAACCTGAAACCCTAAACCCTCGACCCTACTAACCCCCTTGTTAACCCTAAGCCCTAAACTTCTAGGGTTTGGGGATTTGGGGCTCCGTTCTGCTGGAGTGTTGAGGATGCTAGCACCGACTCAGGAGGGATCCCAAGGTCCCTGTTCTGTATGGGCAAAGATTCGGGCTAGGGTTGGGTTTAGGGTTTAGGGGTTTAGGGGTTTAGGGGTTTAGGGGTTTAGGGGTTCAGGGGTTTAGGGGTTTAGGGGTTCAGGGGTTTAGGGGTTTAGGGGTTTAGGGGTTTAGGGGTTCAGGGGTTTAGGGGTTTAGGGGTTTAGGGGTTTAGGGGTTTAGGGGTTTAGGAGTTCAGGGGTTTAGGGGTTGAGGGGTTTAGGGGTTTAGAGGTTTAGGGGTTTAGGGGTTTAGGGGTTTAGAGGTTTGGCGGTTTAGAGGTTTAGGGGTTTAGGGGTTTCGGGGTTCAGGGGTTTAGGGGTTTAGGGTTTAGGGTTTAGGGCTAGGGTTTAGGGTGCAGGGGTTTATAAGGGTTTTATCTCATGGCGGAGGGACTCCGGGCTGGCGAAGCGCTTCTCCAGCTCCGCGAGCCTTTCCTGAAAGAAGCCTCGGGAGGTTATTGGGGTCCGGGTTTATAGGGTTTATAGGGTTTATGGGGTTTATAGGGTTTATAGGGTTTATAGGGTTTATAGGGTTTATAGGGTTTATGGGGTTTATAGGGTTTATAGGGTTTATGGGGTTTATAGGGTTTATAGGGTTTATAGGGTTTATAGGGTTTATAGGTTTTATAGGGTTTATAGGGTTTATAGGGTTTATAAGGTTATAGGGTTTATAGGGTTTGTAGGGTTTATAGGGTTTGTAGGGTTTGTAGGGTTTATAGGGTTTATGGGGTTTATAGGGTTTATAGGGTTTATAGGTTTATAGGGTTTATAGGGTTTAGGGTTCCAAGGAGTAGCCCTCAACCCGAAAAACTCCGGGCCCAAGAATGACTTTGTATCTGTTTTGGAGGGCCAAAAGAACTTATCGTCTGGGGTCTTGGGCCCTAACGGCATGAGCCAAGCCACTGGGAGTTGACTAGCATTTGGGAAGTA